TCGGACTTCAACATTAGTAGGAGTATCAACCATTAGGAATCCCTAAAAATATCTAAAGGTTCCTCATTTGATGTGCAATCTTGCAGACCTTTTCCCTTAACCCACTCGCGTTAGATGGGCGTAAGGTTTCCTCAACCTCAGTGGCAACTTTCCTGAAGGGGTCATCGGGTGAAGTCACCCTACGCACCTGCATTACACCTCTGTTGAGCTGTAAATCAATCGTAACAAGCTCAAATATGCGTGAGTGGCATTACTATCAAGAGCCAAACCAAATTTATTACAGACGTTTGTCTGGCATCAATAAGAAATTCACTGGGGTCAAAAATGTTTGTATGCATTCCAATAAATAATTTAGATTTTATATAATTATTAGCTTCTCTCCTCGTACCAGTCTTTTAAATTGATATTGGACCGGTCAAGAAAAAAGTTGTAGCTAAAATCATTGACAGTAGCTTGGAATACATTAAATTTTCTTTTATGCTTATTAGGCCGTGCTACAAAGGCGCCATTTTTTCAAAAATCCCATTTAACTTTAACCAGTTTTTTAGGCGTCACCTCAAATATCTTGACTACTTTATACAATTGTTCTCTTTTTTCATGTATAGTGACTCCTTTTGAGTATACAACTGAAATAAACTTATTACCTTTATAATTTTTATTTCCAGGAACAGTTTCAATAAGGTTGATATATGACCTCTTTTTAAAATGATCTCTAAACATTTTTAAAGTTCTTCACTAATGAGTTTAAATCGTCTATTAACGATTTCAGTCATACACCTAAAAGGAAGCTTTAAATATGATTTATCAAGCAAGGAAAAGAAAGCTGAATGCATATAACTCTTGAAAAAATGATCCTTAGTGGCACTCGCTTTGCTGAAAAGTAGTTAACTTTAACGTAGAAATATTAACTCTTAAAATTTCTATGTTCGAATGTACTCATCTACAATAATGTCCAAAGCGGTGCTTTTTTACCACCAATTCCATGGATAAGACCTTATTCAAGCTAATCTCTAAAGGGGGCTATTTCTTTTATTATAATGCACTATGTTAACTAAGGGTTTGCGGTATTTTAACTTTTCTAAGTGGTTGATCTTTAACTGTATCTTGAGGAAGAAATGGTAATTCCAGGTTTCTTCGAATTGAAAACAGCAGACTCCGAGACAGACCGGGGAGGGAATGAACATTAGTACCCTGCTTCCAAAGAAATTCTCTTAATACTATCTCAAAAATAACCGTATAAAACCAAAAATTACAATCAGGAGAGAAAAAAACATTAAAAATGTTACGATCAATCGTTATAACCTTTTCTCGAAGAACTGACGTTTGAGAATAGTAGAAGGCAGCCTTCTAAACATTCATCTCAAAATGCTCCTTGCCAGCCAACGAGATGATGGCAAAAGGGTAAGTTAAACTCTACACGGTAACCGGTTGAGGAACACATGGATACCAGCCGCTTAAGAATATTTTAAATTTTTTCTCTTTTCCGCAGCACTAGCCGTTTTCCCTGAAACAGAGGTGTAGGCATAATAATTACCCGTTAGTAGGTTTCCAGAGGTATGCGGATAATAACCACTCTTGTAAGGTGGTCTGAAGCAATTCAGAAGAGTACTGTAAGAGTTCATCTTGTCAGCATCAAAATTTTTGTAACGCTAGCTATTGTTCTAAATGAACGAAGTAATAGCATTGTAGTTAGGTGCAAGATTACAGAAAAATAAACTGTGGTATTTTCTAAACCGGAACATTGGAGGAAAAGGAACGTCAATAAAGATTGAATCAATAGCTGTTTTAAAAATTTGAATGGGTATGCCTGCTTTTGAAAATGTGAAGAGGCTAAGATTTAGGTATTCGTCAATTTTGTATATAACTTTAAACTTTTCATTATTATATAAGAACTCTTTATCGATAAAGCTTTGGAGGTAAAAAGACTCTCTATATTTTTATCACTTAGAAAGCAATTGAGTGCAGAATAATACTTATATAATTTTCCCTTAATACAATGACTTTTGTAGTTGATTTTATAATGGTTGGGGACAAATTTTCAAAAGGAAGAGAAGAATTCGAAAGAGTTATAAAATTGCATAAATATGCAACAGTTGTAAATAAAGAACCATATCAAGTCTGCCTTTTTTATTAACTTAGTAAAAATAGCAATGCAACCAAAGTAAGTATAAGTTGATGATAAAAGGCACGCTGGTTAGTGGCTAACGTTAAAAAAAGTGATTTGCAATGCGCACTCTATCTGATTTATTTAACAGAAGCTATCTTATTAAATTCAAAGTCATATCAACGAATATTAACTTATGAAACTCTTCAATATTAAAAGCACTCATTAGGCCATCGATATTTAATAGATAGAGGTAGCCCTTCCGATAGAGTTCAATTTTAAACAGGAGAACAGGAACCAAGAGTGGTTTCTAAATAAATTGGCGACTTCTCTTTCAAAGGAGGCATGGAGAGAAACAAATAAAATTTAAGTGCCTAAAGAAGGGAAGAACCAATGCCAAAGTGTAGTAATACAGGAAGTTTATACCACCTTAACTTTTACAAACTGTTGCCTACAACTAAGAAATAAATTACTAAACGAGGGCCAATGACCAGTTTTACTTCCAAATAATATATATATACGTGAAAAGGTCAGTTTGGATATAGTATAAGTTTAATATTGCAAGTTCCTTCTAAAAAGGAAGCAAGTGTTTAAATGAGACGAAAACAAAAGGATTTAATAGAAAGGTAAAACGGTTTCCGTAGTATTCCCTGTTAATACGCTTAACTCGATAACAATTTTAATAATAGAGCAGGCAAAATTCAAGAATGGTATAAAAAATTGTTGTCAAGTTAAATAAGCAAAACAGATTTAAGTAATTTTTAATAAAGTAACAAGTCTAACAATTATAGATAAAAAATAAGTATTTTAATAAAAAAGGGTATACTATAGATTGAATAAGTAATAGAATAACTAACTAAATAATAAAGAAATATATTTAAAAACAAACAACTAAAACAGCAAAATGAACAAAAAAAAAAAAAAAAGAGAAAGCTGGATACCAAAAAGACGAAGTGTCACACATTATAGCACTGGCTTACTGCAGATGTGATTTATGATGGATTGCTGCTTAATTTACTTTAATTAAGGGAGCAAAAACCACATGTTCCTTAACGATTCTATGCGCCATTAACGAGGATAGGTGCGCGTTATCATAGCTAAATAGTATATAGTAAAAAGACGTAGAAGCAAAGTAATAAAAATATTAAATGAAAAGGGATGGATTAGTTTCCGTTCCATAATATTATAAATATAAATATATATATATATATAATTAAGTAAATATAATAAACTATAATCTTAGCCATAGCTCTCCCCTCTATTACTAGGCCTAAGAAATGTTTTGACCGGGAGTACTTGGCAACCAAGGAAAAGTACTAATTAAGAAGCTGTCAAATAAGATAAACTTAAATAGGCTGGAGGGTACATTTCCTATGTAGTTAGCTGTTGTGCCCAAAGCAAGGGGGCACCCACCATTTTCAGAAGGTGATTTTTTAGTATTTGTAGTCGACGAATATGTTCGTTTAAAAAATAGACACAAGTGGTAGAGTCATAGACCATCAGCGGGAGTATAACTACGGAAACTCTTTTTTAAATGCAGTTTGCTTTTCCTGCATAGTAAGGGGTCTAACACGGCTATAGCTTTCTTGGTTTTAAAACGACTTAAGAAAGATGTGGAGTTCAGCTTAGTCCTTCGTCACGCACAATTTCGAGATATCTAACCTTCTTAGATCGAGGAATGAGAGTTTACTAGGGATCTAGGGAAGTATCCTTCCCTTTGTTATAATTACAAAGCTACTTTTCGGCTAGTTAATTATAAGCCTCCCTGTTAAAAACCATGTCTCAACTACTGTAAACTGAGACTGTACGTTTTTAAACACCAGACAGGCGGATTTTGAACTAGCAGATTTTGAACTATAATATAAGGCTGTGTTGCCAACGTAGTGAGCCTAGTTTCTATTTTTTTTTCGGCAGTTGTGGCATGTCGCGCATGTAGATAGAAAAAAGGAAAGGGGGTACTAAGAAACCTTGTGGAACACCACCTTTGATTGTCTAAAAGCGGACTCCAATGAATTTACTCTAGCAGTTAAGGTTCTATTCTTTAGGTATGAGGTGTACCACCACAGTCAAGTAAAAAAGGGAGCTAGATCGTCGTGCCCTCTTTTACCGAAGAGTCTTCTTAATATATCTAAAAGAACGCACGTTTTACTTTTTTTTTTAAGAAAGCTTCTGTAGCTTCTCTAGTAAGCCTGATTATCTAGTGAATTGTGGAGTACTTAATTCGAAAACCAAATTAAAAATTAGACAGGACGCACTTGCCATTCACTAATTCTTATAATTTACAAGGAACCCCGCTTCTACCTCCTTTCTAGGCCGGACAACAAGCTTTTTGGGTGATAATCTTTAATAAAACAGTTAGAGGAACTAATTATAGGAATGAAAATTATGTAAGCCAATTTCCACAGTTTGGGGAGGTAAGCTGTGGTGAATATTTGAATTAATTAACCTTAAAATCGTAGAGATAGCTCGTGAAATTAAGTTCTTAAGCATTATCAGGGCGAGGCTTTTCTAGTATTAAGGGGTTGGATAATAGTTTTAAGATTCCGCACTGGTGATAAGCTTAACGTTGTTACATATGTTAGATCCTAAATGGTTAGTAGCTATGGTGGACACATACTTAAAGCGGTGCGCATTCTAATCGATATGAGTAAGCTTTCAGTGCATCAGCAAATGCCTCTACTATTTCGGAGGACATGGTAGCTGAGGCGTCCAGCACCATGGATGAGCGGTGTTATGCCCCTAGTCTCAGTAGTTCGAATGGTTCTTGTTAATTTCCTTCAAGAATTATTCTCTGGCCCAAAGTCCCTAATTTTTTTGGCCAGCTTTAGTTAAACCAGGCTTTCAAATTCTCCTTAATTTCAAATATTGATTGTAAAGTTTTTTATCGCTTGGAAACAAGAGTTCGGATATCTTGCTTTCGCCTTCTCTTAATCTGAAATCTAATGTGGTCCATAGAGTTGTATTGTTGGTTTTTGTGGGCTTACTATAGTTCGCTTTTATAGCTCCTTCCATTTGCACAACAGCCGTGTCTAAATCAAGTATTTTCCCTATGAATTGCTCCATGGTGTCTATGCTTGTCTAACTATTCCCGAAATGGGTGCCAAACTGGTTACTTTTTCAACCCAGGTTACCGAGACTGACTTATCTCCTATCTATATGAAGATGGGGTTAGGATCCGAAGAGAGTACAAAGCGTTATTTGACGATAACAGGTACTTAAATAATTTATGATACTGTGATGATTTAAGCCAATAAAAATTAAATATTTTTGTCGGTCATTCCGGCAAACCTTATTTCATTGTCGCTCTTCCGCCTGCTATTCTACAAAGGGTTTTTGAAGTTTAAATCTCGAGACATAAAACCCCCCGCAATTTTAGGCATTACCTTGTCGAAATATTTGTAAGGGACAGTAATATTGACTATCCCAATGTAACAGAGCTCTATATTTACGCAGACAGCTTCTAAAGTTACCTCTATAAATTAGAACGCTTGGTGGGTAATGTTTTATCCAGTTAAGGCAGCTACGCCTTCTCCTCCAGTATCTTTCCTGTCGTGTAAGTGAACAGAATAGTTAGGTGCCTTAAACGGTTACCTTCCTTCAGATGTGTACAAGATGTAAAATTTTGTCCAGGTTCATACGGGCAATAAATTTCTGAGTTGGCCTGCATTTAGATAATCTAAAAATTAGTTAATTTCTAAATTAGCTCCTTAATGGATCGCATTGGTAAGTGTTGCTACAAAGTTATTCTTCAGGTCGTTTAGGGAGCTGTATTAGTTGCTTCAGGTTCTAAGTTCTGTTTAGTAGGCGGTGCGTAGCTTATATTTTTTTTAAATGAAAACTTTCAGAATTCTTGAAAGCTTTTTTAGTTGAAAAATTATTATGAATTTTTCTCAGAGGAGCATATTTCTGGTGGTTCTGCATCCTCTACAATTTGAAACATGCATTCTTGGGCAATTAGGGCAGGTAGGCTTTTCATTTTCGCTTTTAGTGCAGGAAGTCGAGCAGTGAGGGCCATTGCATTTAGCGCATTTGTAGCTTGGCTTAGAGTATTACTCTGTATGTCCAAATAGTTGACATCTATAGCACTGACCAATCCACCCCCTCTTCTTTTCAGGGAATCAACCGACACGGCGATACACCCATTACTTTTCAAATTTAAGCTCTTGTTTCCCATTTTAGACGCCTTGACGGGTAGGGGTAGGGGTTGTCTTTCCTTTTCAAAGGAACGCATTTTAATTACTTCAGACGGGTTGAACCGTTAAAACAGAAGAACCGCCTTTACAGTTTCTGTATCCATTTCTGGGAAAATATCTGGAATAACCACTTTAAACTCATTTTCAATAGGCAGCTTGTATCCGCAGAGGTTCCAATCTCCAAACTTTCCTCGTCTAACGGTCACCTTAGCTTATGTAACCCTCCTCTAACTTACTTTTTTTCCTTTAATACACCCATTTACTAAGATTTGTTCCTCTAGGTCTACAATTCTCGAAACTCATTTTAAAATCCCTCGTTTAAGCTAAGATCTTAGGGCTTTGTTTACCGATTAATATTGTAATAATCCTTGTAAAGCATTGAGCGCACCACTGTCTAATTTGGTGCCCAAAGTGTATTTTATCATTACTCAGTTTGGAACATATTTGCTGTATACATGTAATCAAATATTTGTCTAGCTTGGCGACGCTATTAAACGCAAGATTCCGGACACTGGAAAGAACACCATGTTCAGAATATCAGAAATTCTCTCTGCTGCACGCTAACTATAGCTTATATAAATGATTTTACTTGATCTCCGCAACATTATATATATTTTTTACTTATATTTTAACAATCAAGAAGCAAAGGTTTATAAGTATAAAAAAATAACTTTTACGATAATACTAAAATGGATAGAAACGCCTAAAGAGAGCTAAAAGAACGACCACGGCTAGTGAACAATTTTATATTAAAAAGTGTTAAAAATGCAATATGAAAATATTACTCGTTTAATAATCCCTTAAAGAAGTATAGTTGTTTTTAAAAAAAAAATTGTTTGAGTTAACAAAACTTTTTGTCTTCTGTAGCACTATGTTTAAATAATGTTGTATTTGATAAAAATAGTTTTTCATGAAACGAATGTTTTTCAAAACGCCCTATCCCTTTTTAAGTAGAATATATTAAAAACTGTGGTTTAAAATGACAGTAATTTGTCATAAGTTTTGAGAGCAGTCTGAAACTATAAATGCTTGTTTCAACACACTTGTCAACCCCTTTTTTCTTGATATATAAATCTTAAAGCCTATTTGCCAGGTGGAAGTAAAAGTGTGGGATGAAGCGAGTAAATAATAAGTAACCATTACGGTTAAACAGTATTATGAATTGCCGTGTTAAAGTTAGCAAAATTATTTAAATACATAACACTACGTTTTCACACTTTTTTCACTGGCATATTTTTTAATTCTTATAGCAGTGTAAGTGAATAAATTATGCTGTAAACCACCTCATGTGCTTAATATATTCCAGAACATTTTCAATATAAAATAAGTTGACGCTTCTATGTAATGGGTATTTATTTATAGCCAAACTTTCAAGTAGAAAAATAATTAAAAATATTTTATAAAATACTAAACGGCCTCATGAAGCTTATTACTATCAGAATGCTAATTAATTTAATAATTTAGACGTCCTCGGCATGGTACGCTTATCATCCGTAAAGACTTCAAGCTTAATATAATTTTAACTTTAAAAAAGAATATTGAATTAGCCTATTTTTTTTTTAATGAATACGAATATTAAAAAATTCACACATATATAAGGAAGTGAAACAAAGAATCTTCTACGATCCAAGGTTTTATTTTCTAACATTAAGAAAAAAATATACACAACAAAAAAAGAATTTTTCTAAAAATAAATACTAACCAGTTAATGTTAAAAAGAAAACCTTACAATGCTAACAAGCTAGAGTGACTCGCAAACGTTTGGGTGCTAATATAGTTAAGTTCATTTTCTTGTAAAAGTCTTAATGCAATTATTAATTTAAAAGTTTTAAAATAAAATTTATAACAGTAAGCATGAAGGCACATGCTTTACCTTCATGAGTATGAGATGACATACGGGCTTTTTACTTTTAAAAAATACTAAATTTTCGCACTGATAAAGGATAATTTTGATCTAAATTTATTTAGTTTCCATTATAAAAATGTAAAACAATAAATAAGAATTATTACTTTTAATTCGTGTTTCGCTATACTCTTCTTGGTGTTATAATAATTATAAGCCGTAAAAGCTGATAGGATAGTTCAGCTTTTACAAAAACTGTACAAACTCATTTAGAGTATATTACTAATTTAAAATATAATTTAAAAACTTGACATCATTTTCAGTATCATTTGCCTTAAGTTTAAGAAAAAAACTGAAGGGACTAAAGCCAATAAGAAGTTATGTCTTAAAAAATAGATCGATGTAAACTGTTTGTAGAAAACATACTTATTTGTTATGTCTTTGATAGACCTCAATAATTTAAATTTTATTTTTATTAGTTATATTTTTTTATAGGCATTTGTAAGTCGTTCACTTAAATAGACTTTCACTTTACTTATGAAGCCGAAAAATATATTTAGTCGTTTGGGGTTAGGGCCATTTAACTGTGAAGTCTATATTTATTTTAAATCGAAATTAATATTGAAATATTTAAGGGGTTTTATCTAAAGTCTGTCTACAAGGTTTTCTTAAAACTAGTATCTACGAGGTTTGTTTTTCCTTAAACCGAACCTATGCGATCCTTCTTTGAATATTGCCAGACCGTAAATAATAAACAAGGAAGGCAAAATACCCCGCGGACAACTACAGGCAAAAAAACAAGGCTAAAAGAGGAAAAACCCTCTGCTTTTATTAATCGTAATATTATATAGTTATACTTTAAAAAAAAAAATTAAATTAAACACACGGGATGAATTAAAATGTATCAAGTCAAGTTTTCGGTGTCAACTAATTGTATGGTTGTAAGAAAATCACATAGTTGACAATTAATGTCTTGTTTATTTATTTTTAACTTTATAGAGAATTTATTTTTTTACTATTAAAATTATACTGATTGCCTCGCAGGGTTGGCGGGTGGCACAAAAATGAGTCCACGGCTTCTAAAATCTAGCTTACTTAAAGGCTGCCGCTGCCCTGGATAGTGAGGAAAGAGGTGATATTACCGGCGTAGTGGCTTGAGTGCTTTGTGGAGAGGAAAGCAGGTCCGTCGGGGTATTATCGGGAGTAAACGTACTTTGATCAGTATTACTCGGAGGCTTCAAAGCATTACATTTATTGCTATGAAAACTGTTGTATTCTTTAATTTCCCCCTCATAAGTACATTATTTACTTTTATAATCTAAGTACTCATAATGAAGACGAGGGCAGCAAAGGAAAATTTCAACAAAAGTAATATATCTTATGGATGTTATACTATAATCAGAGATAGGACAGAAAATAATAGAAAAAACAACTATTTTGCTTACATATTAGTCTTAGTATTAGAAGATTCGGGCTTCATTTCAGTTATTGGGTTCCCATATAAGCCCCTATTATTAGTCGACAAATAAAATTAAAAAGAAAATTTTTTTTATATCTTTATTTTGAGCAAATGAATCAGAAAGCGTACAACTATAGAAAAGACTTTAGGTTTGTAAATGCTTTATTTAAATAAGGCTTTATTACTAAAAGCAAAGTTATTCTTGTTTTTAAATGGTTTGGTACGATTTTGGCAGTTGTAGACTAAAATAATGAGTAAAAATATTTGTTAGAAAATCTAGTTAGTACTAAAAATGGATTCCATTAAATAAAAAACGAACCAGTCGTTCTAATAAGTTTAATTAAAGTTAGAAATGTTTTAAATATTGCAAGGACGAAAACATTGCATTTTAGAGGGCAGTAAGATGGTTTTCATTTAAATTTAATTTTTTGTACAATGCAAGAGCAGTTAGCCTCAGTACTAGAATATAAATATGTAGAGAGGTTTTACAAATATTCTAAAGGGCTGGTTCGGTAAAGGGACTATCCTCCAATGATGATATCGTATTTCTGGCAAGATTCGTAAACTG